GTTTTTTAGAAATACTTACATTTGTAGAAAGTTAATAAGAACTATGTATGCTGGGAACTGTAGTCTTCAGAAGTCTCGTTCCATATTAACAGAGAGTATGACTGCATCTATTTTACTCTGCTACAGTGTGACTCATAATACAGTGAGGATCTGTAGGAAAATAACTGTACTGCTCTTAGCAGTGTCACTGATAAAATTGTTTTGTTTTTAATCTATGAATTTGCAGCAAGATCATTGGCACTTGCATTTCTACATTTTGTCTTGTGTTTTTCTAGTAACTTGAGAATGATTCAAGGATGAATTGATTTTCATACATAATTAAGACAAGATAAGGATGGAAAATATAGGAAATGCATGCATAGAATGTGTGCTTTATAATTCGAGGTTTTACAAATATAAACGCTTAGAGAAGTTTGTGTGCAACCTTTTTCTGCTTCAGGGTGTTATTACATAAAACCACATTTGCCTTCTGGAAAGTTTTGTTAGAGTGGTTATTGAAAGCAAGAAGAAAAATCAAGAGTTGACTCATACATTTGCTGAGCTTACCTGGAATGGGAGATATAGAAGTTCATAAATTAATGTAAGACAGAAGACTACTTTAAGATCTCATAGCATTCCATGAGTCTGTGTTGGTGTCTTACATACATTGGAGAAAAAGTCATACATAGCTAGAAGTTTATTCAACTGAAATTTATACCTCTGTCATCTTTAATGAAGCCTGTACAGAAGAAGCTCACTGATGAGTCAACATGAAGTAAATGATTCTTTGGGAATACAGTACAGTACACAGTTGCTTTCATAAACAGATAATAAGGAAGGAAACAATTTGGTCTCCTTTAGTTGTAGTATTATACTCAGTTCTATTTCAGTTTCCTTAATGCTATGATAGTGCTGGCAGGCAGCATAGAAAAACCTCAGCAGAAGGAGAAATCTCTACTGCTTGTCTGTCCTTTGGCACAGGAATGATAGTTGTTGGGGAAGGCTTGAATTTATATATTGATCCATAATAGAATTTTCATGTCTTCTGATGATTTCGTTTTTTTCTCATATGAAATCTGCTAAATTTCATATTTATTTATTTTCTCTAGGTTGATGCTTAAAGCTATATTTGCAGGGAAAATTGTTCTGACTCTGCTTGACAGGAGCAGACAAAAATGTGTGTATGCGTGTGTATACAAATGCGTACTTATGTGTAAATATAAGTAGGCAAAAGTACAGCAGACAGTCATGTTGTATAAGAGAACAAATAATTCAACTTTTCTAGTGAAAGTATTTCTAGCAAACTCGTTGTTTATACTTTCTTGTCAAATGGGAACTGACAATTAATAGTTTGAAATGTTAGAAACCTTTCAGAAATAATTGTCTTCCTATTGCAGTGCAAATGCACCAGGCACAGCCACAGACCATCTTACATTTTTTGCTATTTTTCAAGTGTCTGTTGAAATCAGAATATTTTAATAATATATTAATAGTTTTGTATTCATACTCTAAGATTACATATAACTAAATTTCACTTTCTTCCATTTTATCTGGATTGGTTCTGAATTAATCCAAGATGTTATACACAGCATGCTGAAATAACATAATTTATCTCTAAAGTTACTTCTTTTTTCCATTTAAAAAGTGTCAATTTTTTGTTCTTGTTGATTTTTTCTTAACAAGTTTTCCTGAAAGTCACTGAATAACAATTCTGAATATATATTAAAAAACAACAACAACAACAAACATAGCTATTGCTATTGAGAATATGATTATACAAATGTTTTCTAATTTTCTCTCCGGCATTTATCCTGACCTTCTCTTACCACCTTTGCCATCAGCATCATTGTTCTAATATATTCTCTCCCTGTTCTCCAAGTATTCATTGAACTAGGAAATGGTTAGACTAGAAGGGACATATTTTGTGTTGTTTAGAACATTAAATTTCTGATTAAATTAGAACATTAATCCAGGTTCCTTGGTATGATAGTCTTTTGCTGACACCCACACCCATACAGATGTTCACACATTGGGCCTATATGTTCAGATCACATTCTCAAATGCTAACAAATGTGGCTTAATAATATTAACAGAGTATTTTAAACACTGAATTCTAACACCTTCTCAGGAAACCTTCACAAGTATGTCTTGATCTGTAATTTTGTTTGTTGTTGGTTATCAGTTGATAGCTTGTGTTGCCAGAACCATTCAGCGACAAGGAAAAAACCTGTGCTTGAATCGTGACAGAAGTATTTCCCCAAAATGACCTGTGTCTCTGCTATCCCTCTCGGTACTGTTCTCAGTATATGTTTTTTGCTGTGCATTATGACAGTCAGAGTGACACACCATGCAATGAATAATAATGTGTTATAGCTGCAAGTAGTCAGTACTTACTTCCCTCTCACTCCTAGCACCTTACCTAACAAACTCTTCTACTCCCACACTGTTGTGTGACAAAGGGCTTCAGTGTATATACTTGCTCTCATTTAACAAAAGCAGAAATCCTTGCCATTCTAGAGCTTGGAATACAGGTCTTCATTAGTACGATTGCTCTATAGAAATCTCATTTAAATGTCTTAGAGAATCAAATCCCAAAGGTATGCACGAGTGAAATACAGAACTAGCCCAGAGCAAGCATCAGTCAGCTTGTTAAAGGTGGAATATATAAGATGCCAGTATTTCAAGTTTTCTGCAGTAAGGTTTATATCTCAGATATTCTCTGTATCTTAATATTATATTCTGTAAATAAATTTGAAGCTGTGAGTATATTATCTAATGTATTTTTTGTCTGCACAGAATAATTTAATAATGTAATAACCTAAGTTACAGGATTTGGGGTTTTCTTTACTGACCAGCAGGTTTAATAACTGACTCATTCTGCCATACTCAGCCTCCCACCTAATACCATCATGACAAGACGCTGTTTTTCTTCTGTTGAAAGTAAGGAATAAAAATTAAGACTTTCTGAAAATGGAATAGCCACAAATAACTTGGTGTAATTAAGTTGAAATGAATGGTGCTGACTACCTGAAATATTCCTTAGTTTTGTAAATTACACATGGACTTTACACATTTAGGATGTGTTGTTTTCTCATATATTAGCAAACAAATAAATGGTGCTCTTGCTTGAAAGGCTTTTAAAGATGAAGACATATGGAATTAGGTGACTAATGCACTTAGACAAACTCTGTAAATCCCAAAATGTTCCAATCCACTTATTTCAGCAACTGAATGCCAGTTAAAATCTGTCCTAGTGGCTTTGTTTGTAGAACAGTCAGATTTTGTGATGTTTTGGTGTCTTTGGACCTATACTTTAGCAAATGAGCTAATTTCAGCAAGCTCAAGTTATTTTCTGTAAATCATTAATTTAACAGGAAACATGACATCCTGCCTATAAACTAGATAACTTTTAAGCTAAAATAGTCACAGACCAGTCTGCATCTACTTCTCATTGTAGTATATTCATTTACAGATTTAATAAGTACATTGTGATAACCAGAGGTAATGTTATTTTAGAATAAATAAATTAGAAATGATGTCTGTATTTTAAACATCTGTATGGGAACTGCTGAATCATGGCCTGAACCTCTGATTGATCACCTGAGGCAAGCAATGAATCAGCCATAGGAGCACAGGTGAAGGCAATTCACCTGTGCTGCCGGAAGGGGTGGAGCCTGGCTTCACCTCACCTAGACCCATTTAAGAGCTGACTACCAGTGGGAAAGGATCTCTTCTGGAGATCCCTCCTCTGGAGTTTTGCAGTGAGTCCGGGATGTGGGTAAGCGTTCTATCTTCTTGTTTGTTTGTTTTGTGTTATTATAATCTGTTTAGCTAAACTCTCCTGTTTATTTCACAATTATAACATCTGTATATTCATTGATTATAAATGTCACAGATGTTTGGGAAGCTCTTTTATGAAAATATCCATTCCTGTAGCGTTTGGGACTATTAAAAAACAAATCAATACTAAACAAGGTTGAAAATAACAACATTTAAGTCTTACCATGTTGTTTAATAACTATTTTAATTCTTAATTGAATGCTAAGGAAAAATACTTATGTAAAAATAATCACTTTGGAACCAGTTATTTATTGCTACTTGTGTTTCTTTTTATTTATGTATTTTTCCTATAAGTGATGTAACTTAAGGAGGGAGGGGACAAAATATAAAATAAAAAAGAAAACAAGAAAAAAACCTTTGTTTCTACAAAACATCAAATTAGGGGTTGTTTGATGTTAGCAGTGTTTTTGTTTTAAAATTATTAATTTTAATGTTAATCTCAGGCCATTTCTGGGAAAAGTTTTTAATACAAAATTGAAACAACTTTATACCCTTCTTTTTGGTAGTATTTGCATTACGTTTGTACTTAGGACCTAAATATCTCTTCCATATTTCTAGAATAGGAATTCTAGTTAAGCGAGCTTTATGTACTTTAGAACCACAGATGGTTAAGTCTTGCTTTTGTGAATGTGCTTTTCACACAGAATTACTGAATGGCTCGTCCAAAATTTAATTTTAGCTGGCTCCTCTTAGGAGAGCCCATTTCAAATGGAGCTGGATTAACAGAGTGAGCTTTTGAGAATAAGTTCCACTTGAAATACTTTTAACAAAAGACCCTGTCCCCTTTCCTCCCAATTTTCACTGAATGTATTTGTATATAATTTTTGTAAAATTTGAAAACTTCCTCCTGGTGTCCCAATTTTCTTGTTATTACCCATAGTTATTGCCCAGAGCCAAAAACTTTGGCACTATTAGCATTTCTACTACCTTAAATAACAGTTTGTGGGTTTTTTCATAATGTTGGAGATAATTTACACTTACATATATACAAAGGAGTTTAAAGCAGGTAATATTGTTAGGAAATGCAGGGAGAAATGTAGGGGAAAGAAAGAAAACTATTGTGATAGACAATCAACAAAATCAAACTCTTTGCATCACTATTATTTTTTTTATTTTTCCAAACAATCCTACAGTAACGCTGTACAGCTCCTTAAAGTAATGTTTCATTTCTTGCAGGTTTTTTTTACCTTCTTCATCACCAGAAATCCCCTTTAAAAGGCACTCCTCCATAGATCTTGAAGATCAGATTTGATTTAGTAAGGTAGGTTTCAGTTTAAAATTCCACCACCTGGGGAGGAATATTGGAGAGATTATAGGAAAACTGAGTCTGAAGTATCACTAACATTAAAAAAAATATATTAAATATACACTTCAAATAATCATTATTCTATTAACCATTTTCACCAGTCATGACAGAGTTTCTTAAATTCTTATGAATATTTCTATCATACATTCAATAAATCATTAGAAATGTTTTCTACACAACTTTCTTTAGAATTTCTTGTGGAACCGTATCCTAAGGGGAACAAAGATGTGTAGTAAACCTATTTTCTCTTACTGACTCCATAATGTGTTTAAATATTCCCCTTGTAACTTTTTCAGTACTTGAGTGCAAATCTATTCTTTTACTCTTTCACTTTTTAATGAAGTGAATATTGTGGAACTAATTACTATGGAGTACACATTCTTTATGGAATTGATGCTGCAATGGACTAGAAAGACCATTGGTCTGTTCTAGTGTAGCAGTAATCAGGTAAATTCCAAACTAGATGATTTTCAAAGTCTTTACCAACCTAAGCCATTCTATGATTCTGTGATTTTTTTTTAATCCACTTATTTACACTGATGCTGAAAGATAATTAGGTATTTCAGGTTTCATATGCTCTTTAAAACATCATACAACTTCCATGGGAATTAATGGGACTGTGGAGATAAAAGTGAGAGAAGACGACTGCACGATATAATTTGGAAAATCCAGGTGAAAGTTTTGTGTTTTTTTCCAACTTATACCATATTTCAGAGCACTTATGAGCGTAAATATGGTGCTTACTGCCTTCGTTCATTGGTAGATTCTAAATTGTTCTCTCACTTTTTAATTCATCTGATTAGAGTCAATGTCTGTCAAAGTACGTTTATATCATACTACCTTCAGGAATCTTAAATTATTTAGTATCAGCTATGAATTGCTCAGATACTAAAAAAAAATAATTAATTTTAGTGGGGTTTTTCTTGTTTGTTTCCCGTCTGCTACGTTTTTTTTCCAATTTGCTTTGCAGGTTATGGTGCATATCATGTGTTGATTTGGTGTCCTATACAATGCACTCAGGCTGTAGAACTCTTCATGTTCTGAGTCCTTTTAACACATTCAGTAAATATAATTTCTATTTTACAGGTAGAGTGACAGGTGTACAAGACATGGTATAATCTATCTTGAGAGCATGCAAGTACTCTGGAAATATAAAACCTGTGGATCCTGTCTATGTGGTTTTTGATATTCTCACCAGTGTCCACAGTACTCGAAGGATTGATGGTAAGAAAATAGGTTATTATGTACAGTATGATTTACATGGTAGAGTTAAGTGGAAAATACAATATAAGAAAAGCGTAGCAGAGTTAAACTGTAATTTGAGAATTAAGTGCTAATTTGTCTTATATTTACAAATTACATCCAGATTCAATGTGTAGAGGAAACTGAAGATATCTAATTGGAAGAAATTTATTCAGGAAGTTATAAGTACTTGAAAATAGACGTTAGAAGAAGAGTTATCTTATTTACTACAGTAATTATTAGTAACAGTTATTTGTACTGTGAACTGTTTTTTCCTCTTTCATTTTGACAGTGTTATCTATCAATGATGTCATTGCACAAACCATTTCTTCTTTTACCATTTTTTTCAAAAGCTATAATTAAACTTGCTTTAGGATCTTGCATGGTTAAAGCATGTCATTACCCTTTTTTTTTTTTTTTTTGCAGTGAAAATTTAGAGATCTGCTATGTTAAATTTTCCTTGTCTGGGAGGTCTTTTCTGAAGCTCTTTTCCCCAAACTAAAATTTCACTTTGAGTTTATGCTAAACAAATTGCAGTGCAATTTTGCTGCTATGATTTTATTCATTATGTTTTTGAGGCATATATAGTAAAGATTTTATTTTCAATAAATGCAAATTGTGTTTTTCAGTCACGGTAACACCACAGTAGAAGAAATTAAGATGTCTGATGCATCTGTCTTGATATCAGAATATCATAATCTTGGTATTTAAAATTCACTGAAGAAAAAATTGCTCTTATGATGTACAGATGCATCACTCTAGGATTAGTATAATTTGTGTCCATGTCTAGTTGTCTATATTCTTAAATTTTAAAGACTTAAAGTAATAGTAAGTTATTGTTTTTCATTTTATTGGCAAAATTGAAGTATTAGATGGGGCTTGACAATAAAATGAAAGACCACGCTCTATTGTCATTTACAGTTGCATTTATAATTGAAATCAAACAGGTTATCCTTCCCTGTGAATTTACAGTTTAATGTCAGTGGCACTTTGTCCTGGTGAGGAAGTAGTTTGTCTGTAATTGAATTCTATGCCTGGAATTAAAGCTATAGGAAAATGTCAGGATCGTCAGGGCTGACAGTTAGAAGGAAGTGTGTTTCCTAATGATCAGACAAAGTCTGTGTTTCAGATTGTACCTATTACTACTTGTCCTATCATTGGGCCCTAGAGCCACAAAAGAGACTGGCTCAGTCCTCTTTGCACTCTCCCTATAGGTATACTTTGAGATTTCCTCTGAGCCTTCTCTTCGCCAGATCTCTCAGCCTTTCCTCAAAGACGACATTCTCTATTCTCTTCATCTTTGTGGCCCTTTGCTACTCTCTTGCACTGGGCAGCCCAAAACTGGACACAGTACTCCAGATGTGGACTCATCAATGCAGAGTAGAGGGAAACCTGCTGGTAGCACTTTGCCTAATACAGCTCAGGATACCATTAGCCTTCTCTGCAGCAATGACTTGCTGCTCACTCATGCTTAGCTTGGTGAATTGGTTGAGTCTGCTGTAATGGAAACACTGACAATAAAGCATAAAACAAAATCTAGAAAGTCTTTCTGTGTAGCATGTTGCCTTTTAGTGATGAGTTGTTAACATCAAAGATGTTCCTAACTGAGTTTCTTCAGTAGAAGTAATTACAGAAGCTTGTTCTGTTAAGCCAATTGGACGATTAACAATTTCTTTCAAATTTACACAACAGAAAACAACATTCAGTTCTGTCTTTACCAGAAATAATAGATACTATGATATTATGAAGAGATGGGCTTATTGAACAATCAGTTGAACTTTCTGTGTGCTAAAAGCACATGTTGTGGTTCTACCCAGATCTTCCTGAATGGAGGATAAATCTATTTTTTTTTTTTGACTCTATGACCAAGTAGAAATTACCTATCAACTAAAACTTAAACCTAGAACTGCAATCGTCAGATCAAATATAAGTGAAGATTAATACATGAGACTCAGCTGCTAATTTTCATGATTTTATTTTCATTTTTTCTATATGAAAACAATTGAACAATTATCAATAAAATCTTCATACACATGTAAATATGTACTGTGAGCTTAAATTATATTACAAAAATCACATCCTCCCTGTGACATTATTTATGAGGTTTTTAGCATCTATTGAATCCGTTAATTAATTAGTGAGCTATACTATAGATCTCCACAGATAAAAGTATATTTGTCAGCATTTTTTTGTTTTTCTTTATAAGCAATAGGCTAAAAGATAATTGAAGCTCTGATTCCACATGATTCCAAAGTAGATTTTTGTTACCAATATTTAATAAAATAGAAAGAATAGTATGTTCTACAGCCTCATTTACGATTTTTTTCATATTTATTTAAATGAAGGCAGAATTGTGATTGGCTTGGAAGAACCTGGGAACTGCTTTTCTCTTTATATAAGCATAGTGGTCTGATTTCACACTTTTCCTTGAACTTAGTTCTTATTCAGTTTTAAGGTTTTTCTTCTTTATTTGAAAACTAGATTTCACTTTTCTTAGACTTTAGTCATGTTTCTCATTCACCAAATAACTGACAATTCTGTATCCAGTCTTTTGCATTAATTACTTTCAGTGCTAATCACAGTCAGAAGTTTTGTTCTTCAACTCTTATCACTTATCAATAAGGAATTGTTATGATAGTTGGTCATTGTCCATGTTCATTGTGTGAACATCTGCCAGTACACACATCTGAGATTTCACACCATACTAAGTATCAGAGAAACGTACTCCAACCGAAGTTTCCTTGCTAATCTGTGCTTATCTTTTTTCACTCTTTCACTGTTTGTTTTTGACTCATGATGGTCTTGATCCAGAAAGAGAGCCAGAACCTAGTTACCTCCACTGTGTGACTGGAATTTTGTACCATAGTGTCCAGGGCTCTTCCCAGGCTGAGGAAGACAAGATAACAGCTGCTTTTCTTAACGCTCACCTTCATTTAAATGTGGCCAGTAGTGGGGAAAGAGCATGGAAAATAGCAACTACTCAGTTTAGGAACAGAACAGAAGCCCCCAAGATATTTCCTTTTTCTCACCCTGGCATTACTTAGAAATATTGTGTCACATGTGTTGTCCAAAGATTTCCAGAGTTCGTTGTTCTTGAATATCAGCACATTCTTAAATGAGGTTTCTGAACAGATATGTATGGAATTATTTTTGTTACTCGGAAAGCCTTCAAAATAGAAGATTGAAAGCAATGTACAAATAATACCATTTGAAGGCATTAATGTGCAATGTACTATATAAAGTCAAACAACTTAGTCCATACCCAGTGATACCTTTTTAATATCTCATTAGTGAAGATGTATTGTGATAACACTTACATATCTGCTTTGAATAGATTTGATGTGTAGCTGGCATTTGTGCTTGAGAAACAGATAAGCATATTTTGGATTTTGCTTAGTAAATATCATGCACCTTTGCATACAACATATAGTGTCATCTCATGATGTCCCAAATAAGATTGCTTTAATCGAATGTTAAAAGTATGTTGTGAGAATGTGATCACTCTGTTTTCTATGCTGATTAGGTGATAAAAGCATAGCTGGGATATTAAAAATAACAAACTTTAGGATAGAAGATTGTATCGTTGCCTACAGCATGTTGCAGTTGATATTAATTTTGTGTTTAGTCCTGTCAATGCAAGAATATCTTCATGTATATTGCTTAACTATTGGCAATTTGAATGGTATCAAAATGCAGAATATGCTTATTTCTGACAGAAATGAAATACTTTGTAGCTTTTTGTGAATACAGTAGTTTGTATCCACAGAGATGCTGTAGATTTGCAGGTGCTTGTGTCTTAAATTCTGATTAGATCCTTAAAAGCTGTGTGTCTTCTGGTAGATATATATGTATATCTAAATTTAGGTATAGCAACCTTCGTATTTACTCACAAGTTCTCTAATATTACCAGGAAGTTGTTAAGTTTGTTCCACTTTTTCTTTAAGAAGTGCCTTATGTTAGGCTGTGATGATTTTATCATTCAGGGAATATTCTTTTTTTTCTTTTTTACCTCCTTTCCCCCTCCTCCCCCTGATTTAAAACACTCAAAAGAAAAAGAGTCATAAAAACATCGTAGGCCCTAACTTACATCATCAGCATCAGTGAATCAGATAGGAACGAAATAAGCTTAACATCTGAGAAAAAAGATTGTTGGTTGTCAGCAACTTTATCTCATATCACGCTTATAGCCTTCTCCAAAATTCCCAAAGTCTTTCTTCAGTGCACTTGAAAGATGATTTTATTTGGAGTATTTATTATAGCTACACAGCCTTTCACTCATGGTAGGGAATTTGTTGTTACTATTGATGTCAGTGATGGTAACATCAGATGCTAAATGATATTGCAGTAGTTAAAGACTTTGTTTCATTTCCTCATATCATAGAACTTTCTCACCAGAAAGCCCTCTGAGTCAGTAGAATAAATCTGAAAGTCAATGTTAATGATTCAGTAAGTGTTATTTACTGAACTCAAGTAGTTTATGGGTTTTTTAATTCTACAGAAACTTTATGATATGACATATAAGTTAAAACTTTTTCTTTTATTTTCAAGTATGCCAGTTTCACACCATAGATTGCAGAATGAGTAAGGATATCAAACATAATTTGACTTCATGAGAGAGGATTCAGAAAGTTAGCTGTATCATTATGTGCATGGAATAACTCTGAGTTACTGCTTAATATATGAAGTTTGCTATAATTACCATGAAAGCGCCTGACTAATTCTTTTTTGGGGGTTGTGTGGAGGAGTTTGATCTATAAATAATTTCTTTCTAATTTTGAGAGAAATGCTGGCACATACATCATCCATATTCTGTTTCCTTTGATCCTGCAGAGGGTAGCACGTCCAACTTTATGCATGCAAATTTTTCTGTAAAAATTATTTAGAATTTAGATGCCTGTAAATATAAGGCATAAGCTGAATTCCAAGCACTTTATGTAAACATACTTAAGTACTTCAAGCATATCTTAGTTAAATGACAGCAAACATCTCAACACTTAGGAGCCCAGATTAATGACTTAGTTTTGAAAACTCAGAAACCTTGTTCAGAAGTCATGGTAAACAACCTGCAGCAGATTTGCTGGGTATTGTGCTGTTGTGTCCCTGTGACAGCAACTAGCTGGAGCAGTTGGACCCACTAAAACCTTAAGGCACTTTGTAGGGCTTTTGGCGAGGAGCATCTGCCAAAATGGAGTTTTAAGTAACTTTTTTGTACAAAGTTTTATGTACAAGTTTTAAATATTTATTTATGTAATTAGAAGGCTGATTGTCTCTATAGACAAGTGATTTCCACTGTTAATTTTTTTTCTTTTTTTGCAAAACTGTATTTTATTTCACTGTCATTCCTCTATCTCTGTGGCTAGGCTGGTACCTGTGAATAGTGGTTGATCTGTCAGAATCAGACAGGCTTTTAAGAAAATGAGTTTTGACATTCCGTTCCTTAAGACGATCCCTTGCTTTTCAATTACTGCTTTCTGACTTGGAGGTTTCTTAAGGTAACTCGGAGCTTGTTCCCACACTGTCAACCAGGTGGCAGCAGTGCCACGTCAGAACAGTTCCAATACCCTTTCCCTGACATGAAGTGTTAATGCAATTGACCAATCAGTGCTAAGATGATGGGAGGTAATTGGGTAATTGTATTTTACTGATCACAAGCAGAGAAAAGAAGGGGAAGGGGGAGGAAAAAAAAAAAAAGAGAGAAAGAGAACGGAAGGGGTGAAGGAGGAGTATAGCGAGGAAGACTGGCCCCGGGACATTTGCAAATCCTAGTGTGCCTCTGAAAGGTGGGGAGTCAGACAAAGCCAGAGCGACAGAAAAGCGGATCTACTCCCAGCAGCAACAACAGGAGCTGCCTGGAACTGGATATATACATAGATGCGTACGTACGTGCACACACAAGAATTCAAG